AGTTCTATCGATGCAGATGACCAGGGCCTCAAGGACATCAATAGCATCCAACATCTAGCGAAATAGAAAAATGCACGAAGCAAGAAGATTAATATTGGAAAAATGGCATGAAGCAAGAAGAACTATATAATGTTTAATTAAGCAAAACATTATTAGTCATAGCAGAAGGAGATAAAGAAAGTCAATAATAGTACAAATGCTTGTCATTAATTAAACTGAATATGCTTAAAGTCCCTATCTGATTTAGACTAAGCAGGAGAACATCTGATACAACTAATAAAGCAAACCTCCATAAAGGTTTTTAATTTGCCAAACTTTACAGAAAGAAGAACCGGACTATTTAATATCTAATAGATGTGGAGCAACTGAGCATGTCAACAAGAATTAAACCAACTGTCAGGGTGAGCAAATCAGCACAAACCAAGCAGACCATCTTGCTAAAGTTACGAAATTTGCACCTTGCCATGCACCAAATACCAACATGATTTCCACTTGAATTTAATCTTAGCATTGTCATTCCAGTTTGGAAATACCATCGAACTCTCACGGTTCAGAGCTTCTAATTATTATTATTTTGACAACGCTACCACCTAATTAACAATCCGAACAATGAACTATAACATCATGTGAAACTACATGAGATGACAAAATAATAAAATGATGGATCCATGCATGTTAGGAGCTAGGCGCAAATGAATATTGCCAGACCTGCAAACAAAACAACTTGAGAAATCATTATTTGAAACCACAAAAGGCATGCAGAAAATATAATCAGGAACCTCCAAAATCCTGAAACAACACACCCAGAAATGTAAGTGCAAAATTCACCCGATCGTTTACCATATACTATTTCTTAGAACATGGCTCCATAGGATGGTGATGCAAAAGAACACTATTTTTTGTGTATTTAGTAGCAAACCTGCAATGCACAAAAGAGATGAAATGGTTAATAAATGTGCCAATCATTCTGAAGCTAGCTATCATGCAAACGATAGAGAAGGAA